AAAAAAAAAAAAAAAAAAAAAAAAAAAATCAACAAAAAATGGAAGAAAAAAAAACAACAACACGAAAAAAAATTCACTTGAGAAATTGATAACGATCAAAAGCTGTAACCCAATAAACGCATTGCAGGGCTTGTCAACTTGAATTAATAATATTTCATAGTACTTGAAATATGTTTTAAAGTTACATACATAAGCAACAAAAAGAAGAAAAAACTAGAAAAAACAGCAACAGAAACAACAGCAGCAAAAACAACAAGCATTCATTTATAATTGCTTATATGCATGATACCGACTGAAAAAATGTATGTCAAATATTTAGAAATAGAAGAATATTATACGGATGCCTCATACAAATACATTAAAAAAGAAAAAAGAAAAGCAAACTATTACTCTTCTGCTTTCCTTTTCTCTTTTCTTCTATTACCATCGAAAAGAAGATACCGAAACAAAAAAGAAAAAATCTGTTTTCCCCTTTTTTTTTTAAATATGCACTAAAAAAAATATTTTCTTTTTTTGACGCTTTGATTTCAGTTTGATAAGCAAATACAAAATAATGCAAATAATCAGTAACAGAAAAAAAAAAGCAGCAAAACCAACAGATTCAAAATAGCCAGTTTTCTTTGCACTGAAGATAGAATCTCAATGTGTGGGCCAACAACACGGGACAGCCTACTGTACCGGTGAATCCTACCCAACTTTTTATAACCTTTGATAAAGTGAAAACTTTTGGTGGTTGTCGGCAAACATCTTCCTAAATGTACAATTGAAGACAATTATATAACGTGATTTTCAGTTGACCATCTTTTGCCACTTTTTACAATATAACTTTATTGCTGAGTAAATTGCTTTTTGCTTACTACTGTTATTATTGTTCAGCTTGAAGTGTGCTGCTTGCGGTTTTTAGTTCAACAGTAAACTACCAAAAATATAGATTTACATCATCGAGATGCCTAAATTTGTAGTTTCATCGTTCGTCCTCAACAATCGCTAAATGGTATGTATATTTTATCCCGAGATTGTTGTTGCTGTTGTTATTGTTGTAGTCGTCGCTGCTGCAGCTCCTGCTGCAGTCCTGTTGTTGTTCAGTTGTTTTACTTACAATAGCAGTTATAATGCTGTACACATAAAGAACAGGAAATATTGTTTAGCCTTCAGTCAATATGTGCATATATTTTTACATTTATATTGGTAAATAATAATCTCAGCAAACCCAAATAAGCCTTACCATTTTGTCACAAAACTTATTAATGTATTCAGCGTCAGCAGCATT